AAAAAATCTTCGAATAGGCATGAACCTATATATCTTTTACGAACATATGGGTCCTCTTAATTTCTCTGAAGGTATATTAGATTTAATATTTAACCATATTTTTTTCTAAGAGTAGTTATACTTCTTATGAGCACAAACCCTCATAGTTAATTACCCCTCCTAACACACTAAAATTGTACTCTTGATTAAGGAAGAAATATATTTAGCTTCGTGCGAGGAGCATGTAAATGTGCAATAATATTTTAATATTTATTTATGGGGGATGAAGGTACACCCGATCAAGATACATTGATTTCATTGTCTAGGATATACAAGGAGTTTAGTCTACCAATACTAACAACCATTTATTGAAGTATCCAGAGAGTATGATTAGTAGCCATATGTTTCCTACTCTCAAGGATCCCGAGTAAACTGAAGTGGAGAGGTGAGGATTTTAATTTAGTTTGATTTGGGTTGGGGCTTATGGCTTCATTTAAGAGTTGTTCGTATGATTGGATTTGAATAGGGGCTTATGAATTTCATTTGAAAGTTGCCATAATAATGGGTTTGATGGCCTCTATTAGAGGAGCCCAAATAATTTGGGTATGAGTTGGTCTTATGGCTTTTATTAAAAGTATCCCAAGGAAGGGTCTTACAACATAACCTTGTAAGCTAAGTGGCCCAGAGGTGGGTCTTATAACCTAACCTTATAGGTTAGGATGCCCAAATAAGGGGTCTAAGGTTATGTTATCGACTAAACATTTCTAGCAGAGGTAGGACTTATGACTTCTGTTAGAAGTTGTCGAGATATAATCAGGGATTGGTGGTTAAGTCATGTTTACCTAAAACTTTCCCCTACAGTTGGATTTATGGCTTTCATCTGAAAGTGGTATTATAACCTAATTCTTATAAACAATGCTATCCAGGATTTGAGTTTTGGATTTAGGGTCATTCATTTAGAAGTTTCATAACACACGAGTCTTACTACTTCGCTTAGAAGTAGCTCATGTGTTTGTAATTATTTGCTAGCTTTGACACTAGATTGTGATTTTGACACTTACTTGACAGCTGTTGTTTTTCACTCTAGCTTTTAGTAGTGTGTTTCTTATTTTTTTCTCGTAAATTTTCTGACGACATCGTCAGTGTTTTGTTTTGTTATTTTATGTTCATAGTTTTTTTTTTTACTACAGTAGTTTGCTACGCTACTTTAGCACTATTGTTTGTTTGTTTTCCCCGTTTTGAGCGCTTTGTTTTGCCTACATTAGCTAGATTTAATTTTTCAGCATTAATTTTATCTTATTTATTGATGCGCCGACTTTTACTTATTTACTTGCAAGTGCTTGGAGCCACCAGATTATAGAGCTCTCATGTAGTTAGAAGAGCCATTGTTGAGAGTCTAAGAGTGTTTGAGCTTGTTTGTTGGAGAGTTTTACTGTTTGTGAGATGCTCAGTAGCTTGTACTTAGATTAATTGGATAGTCAAAAAATATTGATTTGTTGCTCTTTTGATTTTATGTTTTATTTTGATTTAACTGTTGCATTAATTAATTTTAAATGTTGAATTTTAATTAAAATTTAATTTGCTTAATTAATTAATTTTAAATTCCATATGTTAAATGTATTTTAAAGTCATTTGATTATTTAAATTAAATGGGCTGCTCAATTAATTGGTTAGAGTTTTAATATTAATTAACATTTTGATCTTATTAAAAGCTTAATCGATTTTAATTTGATTTGAGTTTTGGGATTAATTTATATTATAAATTCTTACATCATTTAAATTGAATTGATTGCTCGATTACTTTAAACTAGTCTTAAAGAGCTTAGCTTTGAATCTGCACACGTATTTAATTTGATTTTAGTTTTAACTGAATTAAGTTAAAAGTTCTTATTTTTTTTTTCAATTAGTTGAATTGGTTTTAAATTTGAATTTTAAGTTTATTTAAGAATTAGTTAACTAATTAACTGATAGGTTAATTGTTTTTTTGAATTAGTTATTTTACATTTTTACTATTATTGAATTTAGTTTCAATGTGTTAGTTAATGTTAGATTATTTATTCTGTTTTGATTAATCTTGATACGACATCACAAATTTATCTTGATCGGGCACGAATCTCGAGGCAAAAAGCTAGTTGTAAACTTCAAAAATTAAATCTGGAAGCACCAGAACTCTGATTTCAGCGAGCCAATAGTCAAACTGAGCGTCTTGGAAATACGAACCCAACGACACCAAGTTCAACCCAATCCGAGCCCAAATAAGTCCGAATCAAGGACCCGAAGCACTGTTGGAAGATTCAAACCGCGATTTGAGTTAACAAACGGTCTCCGATTTTAACGAGCTTATACTCAAATCGAGCGGCTCGACGAGACAAATCCAACGAGCCCAAGATCGCCGAATTCCGACATCAATAAGGCCTCCAAATGTCCAACGAACGGTGCACGATCAAAGGGTTCAATATCGGCCGTCCATTCAAACAACTCCCTATTCGCCTATGATCTCACACCTATTTACGAGCCATGCCACTTCAGAAAAATTATAAATAAAGTCCTCATTCTTCACAAAGGGGACAAAAGTGAAGAGAGAGAAGAAGAAGGAAAAGGGGAAAAGGCGAATCCTCTCCTGCTCGACCACCGCCGGAGCTCTTCCCGCCGCCTGAATACGTCGGAACTCTGCTGGATTTTCACGAAACGATGGGATTTTGCAAAACTTTGTAAATTTGCTTCAAGTTGTAATCTGATCATCCTGATTTGTGGGTCGAATCAATTTCTTGTAATTTACAAAAAACGCTAATGAAATTTTACAACTAGGCGAGGCCCCGTGGTTTTTTCCCTTTTTGGGTTTTCCACGTATAAATCCCGGTGTTCTTTCATTTTCCTATTTGTGTGTTAAATATAATGCAACGCTCGGACATGAATTTACAAACTCTACCGCCGCGTATTTTCTAGCATGAAACCAAATCTGATTTTATTAAGTTAGTTAGTTTAGAATTTTTTATTTTTGTTTAATGTCAGGTTAATCATTTGATCAATTTATTATTTAAGATTCCTCTGCTTAATGCAATTGACGGCTTTTTTATTGCTTCTTAAAGCAGCTTCCTAGTACAAAAATTTTAATTTTTGTACTAGGAAGCTGCTTTAAGAAGCAATAAGAAAGCTGTCCCAAACGAGACCTAAGAGTTTCAGTCTAACACTTATTATTAATTGTTTGGATTATCTGTACATTTAAATTGATTATCACGATAGGTTATTTAATTGCTCGAGTGATTAATTGATTTTTAATTAATTAAATAGTTGTCATATGAATTAATGATTTAATATTACTTAATTAATATTAATCAGTTAGCTGAATGAAATGTTCTCCAACTATTCAAATAAATACAAAATTTTTAAAAAAATTTCGACAACCTCCTGATGTTCATAAAGATAATAGACGGCCGAGAACTTCGGGGCGTTGTAGGGTCCTTAAAATTATCATCAGATCTTCAATTGTTGATTGTAGTGATTGCATTTGATTTAGTGATTATGGCATTTGGTCCCACATTCCAAAAGTTTGCATAAATCCAACATTGTTGGAAAATTTTTGACAGCCTCCCAGCATCCCCTCCCCGAGATAAGAGGTAGCGGACCTTTTAATTAGTCGAGGCGGAATGATAATCAACGACCGAGGGCTTCGGGATGTTGTCCGGTACCGGAAAAAGTTTTCGACCCCTTCAATTGACTATTGCTGAATGTGAACCTCTTATTGTTGATTTCGATATGTTGTTTACCCCTTTTTATATATATCACTATTATATATATAGCCACAACATCCATCGCATGTTGAATTCAAAATTGTTGTAAAACATAGGCTTCAATATCACGGCCGTGATTTTTGGCCCCACTGTGTTCTCAAACCTAGTGTCATAACGTTCACAAGAACAACGCCAAAGCATTCTAGATCAAACACAAATTCAAATTTTCATTTTTATAAATAATTTTTTATATTCTGGGTTGTTACAGCCCAAGAGAAGCTTGAGCTAAATTCCGTATTTTCTCTTTCATAGTTTAGGGTTAACATAAAAACATTGCTCTCAACGTTGAAATTTAGCTCACTTAACCACAAACCAATACAACCTGTCGCCAATTTGAGGAACATTACTCAAACGACATCAATTCCAAGCTTCGTTAATAATATTCGTAAGATTTAAAACATTTTAGTTCGTAAAGTTATAGAGAGAAAGAGAGATAAGATGAGTTTTAATTAGAGAAGCTCTAGAATTTTATTACATATATAACAAAAAATTAGAAAAACTATTGTGTGTGGAAAATAGCCTCCAACTCTGAAAGAAAATTTTAAAAACATTGTGATTATAAATTTTGGATCGTCTAATAAAGATGACAGAACCATAGTAAAATTTTCTCTGCTGATATTTAAGCAAAAGGTGGAACAGCTTATCTTTTTTAAAAAAAAAAGACATAATAAACCTAGATTAACTACTTTTTTATAAGAAAGATAGATTTTTTAGATTACAAAAATTATAGTTTATGGTTCATCCAATAGAGATGAAATGATAGAATAATGGGTGGTCAAAAAATAAAAAATAGCAGCAGACACTTTTTAGATATATAGAAATTATTACCTAAAGAATTCTTTTTATTATTACAAAAAGTATAGTCATTGTAAGTTAAAGTTTATGTACCAAATATCATTTATTAGTTTTAAAATTTAAGATGCACATATAAAATAAAAATAAAATAAAATAAAATATTATCCTAGAATTATATGAGTACTTTAAAAATGTGAATAAAATTATTTTTAAAAATAATATTCAAAATCTTAAAAATTGATTCCTTGATGAGAATCAGAGAAAATAACTAATGAGATTAAAAAGTTTGCAAAATTTATTGACGAAAGCATTAATAGGGGGCTGATTCAACCAATCGGCTCTCACCCCTCTTTATTATTATTTTTACGCTTTTAAGTTTATTTCTTTATTTTTCTTATTTTTTTATTTACTCTTCGTGCCTTTCAAAAAGAAAACTTGTAAATAACGGAGTCCTTAATAAGAGAATTAAAATTTTTAGCGTTTAGAAAGAGAGTCATAGCTCTTATTCTCGGTAACCTGAAGTTTTGGGGTGGTGGTCACCGTCCATTGCCTCCAACCAACGTTCACAAGCAGCAGCAGCAGCATCCACCCTTTCAGCCTTCAATTTCCACTTCCAATGCCGCTAAATCCTTCCTCGACAGCAATTATAGTTCCAGGCAAGGACTATGCTACAGTGCAACTCTCAAGTACAAGGTTAGGTACTTAGATATCCCTTATTCCTTTTTACATAACATAAACAAGATTAAAATCCCACATAGAGAATAATATGGTTAAATATAAAATTCTACAATCTGCTCTGTAGATCAAGCTTTTGCAGGAAAGCTGACAAAGCATTATTCACCTGGGCCTCTTGCATTGCTAGGAGGAATGGCGGAACTCGCTAATCAACCGCAAGTGGAACAGATTTCACCTGCCAATGTGAAAATAATAGGATTATGATTATTATAGCTTCCTTTGATTAGAATAAGCATAATAGACAGATGAATGCAACGGTGAGTGTCAAGCATACCAGCTCCCGAAACTTCAAGATGTAGAACATCTCCAGATATCGCCTTGTCTCGCGCCTCTCAAGCTTGGAGACAAACTTCCAGAATCCATAAACCCCAGCAAGTGTCATTAGCCTCTCTGAATAAATTTCCCATGTGTACCTACAAGTTTTCAATAGGGAGAAACTTTTAAATCTAGATGAAGTTCAGCCAAAAATTAATTCAACAAAAGAACAAGAAAAAACCTCTCGTAAATTCGCTGCAGCCCTGCTTTTGAAATTTCATCCCAGTAACCAGATTCCTTATTGCAACGTTCAAAAAACTCTATCATGAGAGTTGTAGCCTGCTGTGGGTGATACGGGTCAATATGAAAACCAGAAATTCCATGTTCAATAATCTCTGCAGGACCACCATGGGATGTTGCAAATGTTGGAAGACCACAAGTCATTGCTTCCACAACAGTTAGTCCAAATGCTTCATAAAAAGCAGGCTGTAGGAAAGACGGTGAAGTCAGACAAATTACAAGGTGTACGAGAAAAAACAAGAGCAGCAGATACTGCTAGGTTATACTTGAACAAATATGCCTCTGGTATCAGCAATGTAGCGATAGAGTTCCCCATTACGTGCCCTGTTAGTCTGGGAGGAAATCCAACGGAACTGTCCATCCAAACCATACTTCTTGATGAGTTCGTGCATCTTCTCGATCTCTTTAATCTCTTCTCTGTCACTGGATCTCTTCACATCATTGTAGCCACCAATCACAACAAGGTTGGCAAGCTCTCTTAGTTTACTGCTCTTACCAAACAATTCAACAAGACCAGTTAAGTTCTTCACCCGGTCCAGCCTAGCCATGGAGAATATGATGGGTTTTGATCGATCATCCAATCTACCACTGCAATCAAATCCAGCACGTACTGCTATAAGTGAGCTTCTCATATAAATTTAAATCACAGCACACATTTTCAATGAGCTTCTAACTTCTTGCTAATTTACACTTGCAAGATCAAGAAAAAAAAACTTTGCAAAGAAGAATTTCAGACAAGAAACTAGTGCAGAATATTGCCATGGAGGTTGGTTGTCATTAGCTGGGATGCGAGAAAAAAATCATGGAACCAATATAACGTAATTTAATGAGTGACATCAATACTCTTTTAAGTTATGCTGAAAAGTTAAAAAAAAAAAAAGTTATGCTGAAAAGTTGTATGCGATTTAAACACAATAGGTAGAATTAGAACGTAGATCTGCTTAGGGTCTAAACATCAGTTTAAAAATCACAGTTATGTAAATGTTGGTTCCATCAATAGGAGAGTTTGAATACTCTGGTTCCATCAATAGGATAGTTCGAATACTCTACCAAAAAGTAAGTTGAGATTTCAGAATTTTGACTTTTGTTGAAATTGAAATGAACCAGAACTACTATAGAAACAGATGGGCAAGGAGTGTCTAAAGCACAACTGACGGTGAAAATCTAAACTATTGATTAAAATTGCAAGCATAAACACGCCTGACCTTTTCATAGAACTAGACAATGTAGCACTTGATCAGGTTTCCATCATAGCGTCAAATGTCTCACAAATAATCAATATGGATTACCAATAGTGAGGAAGATATCATAAGCAAAGGAAGAATATTCAAAAAAGATTGACACTTTCAATCTACAAGAAGAAAAACTTGGGGTAAATATGATAATATTTATTCACATGCCTAATTTCTGCAATTTTCCAGCAGCACCACTGGTTACAACGATATAGAGCTAAGCAATGCGAACACACAGCTTAATCCAAAGAGAAGCCTGCCCAAATGAAACAGGGGAAATGATAACTCTCTTGCAAGGTATTATGACAACCCCAAAAAACCAAAACCCCAGCAACTTTGAAAGTCTTCATGCTTTCTCCTTCAATCGCATCATTGTGTTAAAATGAACTAAATATTAGGATGAAAACATATGCACATTCACAGAATAGAATGCACAACTGTCAATTATTATGCCTGTTCTGCTGCATTCACAGATATAGAAAATAAGAAATGTATGCTATTCCAACAAAGCACAAGCGGAAATCACTGTTTTCTGGTCATCGGTTAATCCAAACAGAGATGTCTGGTCAAGGCCGAATTCACAAAGGATGCAAAACTATGCAGTAAAAAGAAAAGAATGTATAATTGACAAGAATTAAAAATATATATATTGAAGATTGTATTCCAACATATTTATACAAACCTGAAAGAACTTCTAATAGGAAACATACAAAATTAAAGAATAATAATTATAAAATAACAATAATAATCAACAAATTGATGAGTAGGCAATAAAAAGCCGAAAAATTAATGACGTGGTAATGGAAGAAGAAAGAAAGATGGCAGAAGTCTGGGTCAGTGTGGCTTCCTGCTGACGAAAATTAATCAGTTGTTTCACAATCCCCATCAAGCAAATGAATGGATGAAGCTAGTATGCTAATTTCTAAAAGAGTACCCTAATAATCCTTCTGTAAGAATGTCAGCAAGATGATCAATTGTGGTTATAAATACAGCATATAGATTACACCAGTGGCAAACTTTTGCTTTATAAAATATCTATCAATAATATTTTATATGTTCAAGTTGTATGAGATTATGTTCAATATGACCTCCAATCAAATTTAGAATGCCATAATTTGAATGTGTGTATGCTTCAAGAGTAAAATCCTCTCCCCTTCAAATAGAATTTATTTGCTCGATATTCCTTCCAAATATTAAAAATTCTATATCTTGCCAAAAGATGTGATTCTTTAGAATTGTACATGAACTCACTTACCTCACCAATAGCATAGTAAATGTCCGGTTAAATATGCAAGGTTGTGAAAATCGGACCGGACATCGAACCAGGAGAGGCTCACGGTTTGACCGGTCGAATCGGGGTCGAACCGCGACCGGTCGAACCGGTTGACATAATAAATAATAATATTATTAAAATTTAATAAAAATTCACATGATATAATATAAATATATGAGCATTTAATAATATTTATAAAATTTAAAAACATATATATAATAAAAATTTATAAACATAAATATTATTTAAGAATAAAATATTTATATACTTATAAAAATAATATTTAATATATATATAAGTTTATAATATACATACATATATTATAGTGCTATTAATCATCATATTTAATAAAAAAATTTTAAAAAGTTATAAGAATTTAACAAACTAAAATATATTATTTATATTTTAATTAAAACAAAATTTAATTTTTTTTATAGAACTGGACGGTTCTTGCCAACCCGGACCAGTTCAGTGGTTCACCGATTGAACCGCCGATACAATCCGGTTCGATCCAGTTCAATGCGAAGCCGATTTTGAAAGTTGGATCAGACAGGCCACCCGACCGGTTCACGGTTGAACTGGCCGGCCCGATCCAGTTTTAAAAACATTGCAAATATGCAGTAAGTACAAAAGACCTCCCACCAACCTCTAGTTAGAGGTTTTTCTATTATTCAATATTCTGGAGCATATCTAAATTTATAATTAAATTCTATGGAACTTTTAATAGGTTTCCAATCCAACCTACCGATTTCTTTCAATGGGTTGCTAACTTGTTATCTATTTTCATTGTGATATAAAGATTTCTAGTCAAAAATGCATAGCTAAATTGTCAAGGTGGTAATTCAGCATACCAAATAATTTGATGTCAAATTCTAGGGCCAAACTTTCTTTAAATTAGCCATCTTTTCAAGACACTGCTTCTCATAATAATGTTGTTAGCACAAACTAATAGTATGGAGACTTTTCCTAAATCCATATATTTCAAAAATAATATATGATTTGTTTGAATTTGTTTGTATTCCAGGTTTAGCTTACCTTGACTAAACTTCTGAAACTCAACCTTAGATTGCTTTAACCCATACATCACCTATTTTAACTTACATACTTAATGTTGTCTAGTAAGAATATACATCGGCTTGAAGTCAACCTTATAGTCTAAAGATTTTCTTACGAGTAGATCTAAAATCAAATACATGGAGTATAATTTTAATAATAATAGATCTTGTGTAGGGATTGTGATTTAGGGAAATCAAATCATTAAAAAGAATGCACATTTTAAATATATTGGGTCTATTGTTCAAAGTGATGGTGAAATAGATGGGGATATTATTAGTAGAATTCAAATTGGATGGTTCAAGTGGAGGAATGCATCGAGCCTATTGTGTGATAGAAAAATTCCCCTCAAACTTTAGGGAAAGTTCTATAAGTTGGTGAAGCAGGACTAAATATGCTTTGGATGAATGCGATAAGAACTTGCACGATTTTGAAAGGAACAAAGAACAATTAAGACTATTAGCTATTTAAACGAACATAGAAAACATAAGAGGGATCACTAAGTTAAGGCAAAACCACATGCTAAGCGCTTGAATTATCAAAACACTATAGAATTCCAATAACATGCGAATTAAGTAGTTATTTAACAAAATCCCCAATTTAACAATGAGATAAGCAACATAGAAAGTACACTCAAATCCTACGTTTACTAAGCAGAGGCAAAAGGTGAAGCATGGCTCCTTGTGACTTGATCACCATCTATAAGATTAGTGGATTAGGAAATTAAATGAAAAGGGGAAGAAGTTCACCCTTGAGATGGTCTGAAAACAATTAGCCACTGGACATTGGCAAGTTGCTCATTAATGGCCTCCGAAAGCGTGAAAATGATGCGGTCCACGTACTCTTCAATGGAACGATCAACTTCCGGGTTGAAATCGAAGGTGGAGTGTTGGATGTTGACGTTGCCTTGTTCGTCGTAAGTGAATCCATAGCTCCGGATCGGCCATTCATTGGCGTTGAAAGAATAATGTGTAGACGAAGATCAACGTGCTCCCTTGAAGACTCCACTAGAGAGAAAGAAGTTTCTCTCAAAAGTTGAAGTGGAGGAGGGGATGGATGTTTGGTACAGATTTGGTGGAGCGAAACCAATTCAAATTGATCCCCTTGATTAAAGTAATCAAGGAAGGGGAGGAGAGAGAGGGGCCAGCGGCAAGGGAGAGGAGAAGGGCTTTAGTTTAATTCCAAAAGGAGAGATTCTCCTTTGGAAAGAAATTAAATAGGTGGGGACTAAAGGATTTCGGCCAAGGGAGGTGGAGGGGAAATAGGTATTGTTTCCAAGAGAGAGCTTAGTGGGTTTTGGAAATAAATCCCAAGGGGATTCAATATGGGTGTCGGCGGCTTCAATGGGCTAGGAGGGGATTGAGGGGAGATATTTGGGTTTCTTATTTTAGATTTAGGGATTAGGAAAGATTTAATTAAATCCAATCGAATTTGAAATTCAAATAGGATTTAATTTAGTAAATTTCCTAAAATAGATTCTCTAATTTAGGAAAGAATTTTCAAATTCAAATTATTTTGAAATTTGAAATTAGGCTTTCCTAAACTAAGAGTGATCAATTAAGGAAGGTATTCAAGAGGGGATTTGAGTTGTGGAGGGAAGAGGAGGAAGGTAGGGCCAGCGACTAGGTTGAGCCTTGTGGGGATTTCGGTGGGGTGAAGGTGGTGAGAGAGGTGGCTTGAGTGAAGTGGGGAAGAGGGCGGGGTTTTGAGGTGGTGATTGTGGGATTGGGTTTAGCCGACGGTGGGGTATGAAGGAGGCTGGCGGTGGGGGTTTGGAGGGGAAACCATGGGTGGTAAGGAAGAGGGGAAAGTTGAAATACAAAAACTAACCACGAGCCCATACTCTTCCAAGGCTGGTGGATGATGTGATTCTGATGAGGACATCGCTCAGAGATTCAGACACGTGTACCGGCGACGCAATCGTAGATCGACGGCTATGATTCAGCGTCTTTACTTTTGATGCTTTATGTTTTATTATTGTTGTATGCATGATGTTTTATTTAGTTTTTGTTGTTTTCCGCTTTTACCCT